AATGCGTGACACCTATTTCAGGACTCTTTCAGAACAGAGGTCCTACCCAGCAGACGTGTAAGGAACAGCTTGAAGAAGACGTAAGGATTTAACTTCCCGGGTTAATCTGATCAGGCATCCAGATGACACACTGAGCCAGCCCTTATTTCTGTAATTCACCCCACACGTAATTGATGATGTATGCTGGTATTCAGATAGAAATGTAATTTTGAGGGTCTTACCTAACTGAGCACGAGTAATTTCCCTGATGGCTCAAAGAGGCTCTGAGTATCACAAGGCTGTGTCCGTGTAGAAGCACGTCCATCTGATTCAAATCAGCTGATTGTGGTGACATGATGCTGGTCAGATTCATCTCCTGTCTCGTCTGATTGGTCCACAGAACATTTGTGTTAGGATCATTTTTCTGAGGGCAGTGCAGCACCACCATCTCCCCTGCCCTGGTGTAAACAGTTTTAAGTCTCAGTGAAAATACTCCTGCAACAGAGAGTCAGATTTTAGCTGATTTATTGGTTGGATTTGGATGTAGGCAAAATAAATCAGTATGAAAACGGCACACTCTTCAGCAGCTGCAGCCTGTAATCAATTAGCGGTTCAGAGACAAACTCAAAAACAGAAGAGGAAAGTTTTTATGTGGTTCTGATAGTGTAGTGATAAGTGCGCTGTCTAATTCAACGGTTTCTATTGAAGATAAAAACAACTTAAAGAAAATATTTACATGGAGCCTCCATAGTGAATCACAAGCACATGACAACACTAGACATCGCATAGTTTCAGGGTCATATTTTCCATTAACGTGAAAACAAGTCTTGTTACTTTTTGACTAAAAGGAATTTTGGCACTGCTTCAGTGCAGAACTTTTTCTTTTTTGCCTGACTTTTAAGTAAACACAATTTAGACATTGCAGAGCTCAAATTAGTTAATCTTCGGGTGGGGCAATTTTCATGCTGACAATTTGGTGAAGCTTTTGTTGTTGCTTGTTTAATTCTCACGACATTTAAACGCATGAACAGGCTTGTTGCTCAGCATGAGGACATTGGGATCCTTATCTTTTACAATGAGCCTCAAGTCTTTGAGGTTGAAAGACCCTTCCCCCCACCTTGCCACCGTCCTAATCTGTTGCTTCCTCCACAGATTATCAGTTTCAAGTAAGAAAAATTTATTATCGCGGTATGAACAATACTGGCTCCATAATTGTTTACATTTTACTAGACATAACAAATAGATTACAGATAGTTAATTTTATTTGTGAAAAAACAAAGAAAATTATATAACACATTCCTAACAGCAGGTGTTGACCAGAGTACTTGACATTTAAAATACATCATACGTAGTAATACATGCAACACAGGTCAACAAATAGTGTAAAGAATAAAAATTACATTACCTGTCAGGAATAGAAGAAGGAGTGTCAGTAGAACGT